GTATTGGGTAGTATTGGGTCATAGTCACGGCAATTCGGTGATGTTTTCGGCACCAAATCGCATATTTCCCGATAAAATATGGCAGATGGAAGTAAATAACGTCTACAAAGGTGATAATTCACAGTAATAAAGAAGTATTTGGTTCATAACTGGGTCGTATGGGGTAGTATTGGGTAGTATTGGGTGGTATTGGGTAGTATTGGGTAATTAGACGCGCCGCATGTATTGCATGTTCAGTTGTTCCCCTGGTACATGTTTAGGCACAGGTGTTTGAAATTCTGACTTTCAATTGAGATAAACTTCATGTAAAAAAGTAAGGTATTACTATAAAAAAAAACTGATTTTAATATGATTTCTATCTTAATTTACAGTCATATTTCAAACATCCGTGGTTTATGTTGTTCGTGCTGCATTCTGACCGACTGATGTCGTGCATTCAGATTACGACGGCCAATTTCGCCATTTAGCAACTAATGACTGCGTCCAATGTAGTCCAAAATAACGTTTTTACAAATCCGTTGATTGTCTGTTTTTGCCAGGTGTGCGTGATTTACCTAATGCATAAACCATGTGGCCGATTTTCGTTGCCGGAAATGTCCATTTTCGTTTTGTTTAGTCTCGTTCAACAAGACTCTTTGTATTGTGGTGGAATGGGAGCTCGGAATGGGGAGGGAACTCTTATATCTAGGGCCGTTTTCATTTAAACGGTTCACCACAGTTGCTCGTTTATTAAATAAGGTAGGACCTAGTAATATGATGTTGCTTTTTGGCGAGCCTTGACAAAGCCTGCATTAAAATTTGCAAGTCAACCAGAATTTATACCCGAAAATTGTTACATTTAAAAACGGACAAACCGGTTGTTCCGCATATACTCGGGCTTTATAGGTCTCTTCCCCAGGTAGCCCTATCGTTTGACATTGGCGGGCTTTTTGAAAAGGGGATGCGGTGCGGTGGTGGTTATTAAAAATCTAAAGTGGTTCTCTTATTTTTATTGGAACGGGAATTATTTGAGAGTTGACTTCAGTGAAAAAAGAATGGTTTGATCCAAATGACCTTGACTAATTTTTCGAACATGGAATTAAATGAACAGCTCGTTATGTAAATTATGTTGGACTGTATCACATAAAGCTATACTGTATAGCTACCAGCCTAATATCACGAATCTACGTCTTTTGGTTCTTCAGATGAAGTTTTTAACATATTTGAACCCTGTGGCCTTGAAAATATGTCATGTCATTTTCATTTAAAACTGTGCCACAGCAACCTGTAACCACCAGACTAATGTCATGACTTTAGGCCTTTCCGTTCTTCAGAAGAAGTTGTTTGAATTTTTTGACACAATGGACCCCTGTGACCTTGAATACCAGTCCAAACACAAAGGAATCTATTATTTTAATTCTCAGGAAAACATTGAACATTTGAAGATTTTGACATATTTAACCTCTGTGGCATTGAATAAAGATCAGGGTCATTTTAATTTACAAACTTTGTTAGGCTCCGTCCAAGAAAACCACCAGCCTAATATCATTACAGTATTTTTTTGTTATTCAGAAGAAGTCATGCGTATGAAGTGTTTTTGGCATATCCAGTTTATATTTACTCGCAAACTTTGTAAGGCTCTACCCTAGGAACCTAGGAAGTAACTAGCCTAATATCATGGCTGTTGTTTTTTTGGTTCTTCTGCAGAGGTTTTATTGAACATTTTAAAATGACTTTGAATATATGTCAATGTCATTTTTATTCTCAAACTTTATTGAGCTCTACCCTAGAAAGCAAATAGCCAAATATCACGGATAGATCTTTTGGGGGGTTTTCTGAAGAAATTGTTTGAAGGTTTTGACATATTTGACTCCTGTGACTTTGAATACAGGTCGAGGTAGCTTTCGTGTGCAAATTTTGCTGGGCTCCATCCTTGGAAGCTTCCAGTCTAATATCACATTGTGATTTTCGATTCTTCAGAAATCGTAGTTTTCAGTTTTTGACACATTATGCCCCTGTGGCCTTGAATACATTTTCAAGGGAAAGTTTACTTGCAAGGTTTGTTTGGCTCCATCCTTGAAATCTACCAGCCTAATTTCAGGACTGTATATGCTTTTCCATTCTCTAGGAAACACTGTTTGACCACTACGGCTTTGACTACGATTTCTGAAGAATCGAAAATCATAATGTGATGATATTAGACTGGAAGCTTCCAAGGATGGAGCCCAGACAAATTTGCACACGAATGTTACCTCGACCTGTATTCAAAGTCACAGGAGTCAAATATGTCAAAACCTTCAAATTATGTTGGACTGTATCACATAAAGCTATATAGCTACCAGCCTTATATCACAAATCTACGTCCTTTGGTTCTTCAGAGGAAGTTTTAACATATTTGAACCCTGGGACCTTGAAAATAGGTCATGCCATTTTTCATTTAAAACTTTGTTAGGCTCCATCCAAGCAACCTGCAACCACCAGCCTAAAGTCATGACTTTAGGCCTTTCCGTTCTTCAGAAGAAGTCGTTTGCATTTTTTGACACAATTGACCCCTTGTGAACTTGAATACCAGTACAAGCATTTTTTTTTAAATTGCACACAGGAATCTATTATTTTGATTATTTTAAGCCTACCCCCACCCCCAACCTGGAAGCTTCCATTAAAGTATCATGACTCTGGGTGTTTCCGTTCTTTAGAAGGAGTCGCTAAATTGAAAGCACGACGGACGACCATCTTCGCTAGCCACGGTCTTCGAGAGTAGGTAGACCCGGATCGTTCCGTCACGATCCGGATTGCTACTCTTGGCTAGCGAAGATGACGGACGACGCGCTACGGTATAAGCTTACCAGTCCGTCGGACCAGGTAAGTTTATAAATTAGGTAATCTCGTGATCAATTAGCGTTCTACCCCTAGATAAACATACATCGAACTCTGTATGTTTGCCGCCACGACAAGTGTGATGCAGGTCTATAGCCCGAGTTTCCTCTGTCCCTGACATCAGGCTAGATTGACATTTTCATCGGATCAGGTGTGTATACAATTTGCATTATTTCACACATTTCAAAGGGTTTGAAAAAAATATCGAAATATATACTTTTTTTAACATCTTTATATAAGGATATCTGTTAATGAATTCCAGCTCCCGATTCCCTCACCGAGTGGGAGCTTCCGGAGCTGGGAGGACATTAGTGCAGCGTGAAAAAAACGACTTCTGTTGTTTGTGGTTAAATGCTAAAATGAAGGGACTGAAGGGCAATTTTTACGAATATCGATCTGGATCCAAACTTTATGTAGACTGAATGTAGAATGTCATTCCCATTACTTACAATATCCACCCCGACACAAGCCCACACTAAGTTTCTTCTACGTATACCCTATCCCAACTTGTACTACGCCATTGTAACTGTTCCGTTTCAAAATCAGCCGGAAGTACAATTTGCTTTCGACAAATGCAGTATCTAAATTAGGTCATGTCTTGCGGAAAGTCAATAGTTATATTCTGTATCCCTTTAAAACATCATAAGCTAGTATCCATTAAAGCTATTCTTATTCATTATACGCACAGGCCCCTATCGTGTACACTACCAAGACACGGTTTGTTTAAGTGTCATAGACTTCAATGACATCTTATTGTAACGCAGTAGTCAGTACACACATGTAAACACACAACACATTGAAACACACAATACATTGGAACACATACAACTAAGGGAAGTGTCTTCACGGAGGTTGACCAAATGAAATTGAAATAAAACCCTCAATTATGTGTATCCAGTATAGATTACGAATAACAAGCTAATGTACATGAATTGATATATAAACGAAGCCAAAATGTAACATACCTGTATCTTCGTAGGGGATATACTTTTATTTTAAGGCTATTTGAGCGGAGGACGGCTCTATACATATTGTAAACAAAGTTGAAACTGCACCCATTTGGTTATTACGACTTGAATTAAAGCTACATTGTTTAGATATCCTAGGTTTTTTCAAATATACGCTGTTATTTGTATAGGATGTAAACAAAGATACGATCGCGCGGTTACACCCGGATACACCCACGTGTTGCACGCATAGTGACCAATCCCAGTATCAATTACTATGAGAAATACGCATGCGTGCGCAATCAAGTGTTATGCAAACCGAACTCCTCATGATTGTAACGTCATTGCGTTGTTTGTGTACCTACACTAATTAAACTGTTTTTTGGCAATTTTTCAAGGAAGTATACTCTCTCCGATATAAACCTTAAAATAATAAGAAAATTAAACTTATTGCCTATAGCTACCTACCCCAATTTTTTTTCAAACATGTCTATATATATATATATATATATATATATATATTTCCGATATTTATTCAAAGAACACGTATACAATTTTTGTATAAAGACAAGCTTGAATGACGGTTTTCTTTTCAAATCACTCCATAAGTCGCAGACATTGTTTTTGGTTTGGCAAATAAAGAGTACACTCGTTTCGATGTGACCAAGAACACGTAGATTCTATCTTTTATTTTTGGTTATAGATCTAAATGTATATTTTTTCATACACCATTATAATATTAATTATTTTCATTATCATATCTAAATGTATATTATTCATACACCATTATGATATTAAGTATTACACGCAATGTGATGGTTATTGTTTGCTGCTCAAAGAAATAAGAAGATAAAATGATCAACCCAAAGAAGATGGACGAGTAAGTCCCATCACTGTGACTTGTCATGACCGAGCACACAGTTTAAATGATAGTTTTGTTGTGAAATGGCTGTTTGATTTGAAAACATTAAAACAGCAATAATAGGAGTTGTTTTAGCTCACCTGGTCCGAAGGACCATGGTGAGCTTATATTTATGCCATACCGCAGCGTCCGTCCGTAAACTTTTCCTTTAAAACGCTACTAGTCATGAACGACTGAGCAGATTTTGACGAAAATTAGCCAAAAGCATCCTTGGGGGAAGAGGAACAAATGTTGTATAAATGGTGGGTCTCTCCCCCGTGGGGGCTGAGGGGCGGGTCCCAATAGGGGAAATATAGCAAATTCTTTAAAATCCTTCTTCTTCTATAGGAATGAAAGGATTTGTTCAATATTTGGTCTGAAGCATTCTTGGGTGAAGGGGAACCAATTTTGTATAAACCGTAGCTCTGTCCCCCTGGGGGCTGAGGGGCTGGGTCAAACAGGGGAAATATAACAAAATCTTTAAAACCCTTCTTCTTCCGTGAATAAAAGGATTTGGTTCATATTTCGTGGTGAGCATCCTTGGGTAAAGGGGAACCAATTTTGTATAAACGGTGGGTGTGGCCCCCCTGGGGGCTGAGGGGCGGGGCCCAATAGGGGAAATACAGCAAATTCTTTAAAATCCTTCTTATTCTGTAGGAATGAAAGGATTTGTTCCATATTTGGTCTGAAGCATTCTTGGGTGAAGGGGAACCAATTTTGTATAAACTGTGGGTCTGACCCCCTAAGGGGGCTGAGGGACGGGGTCCAATAGGGGAAACATAGTAAATTATTCTTTAAAATCCTTCTTCTTCTGTAGGAATGAAAGGATTTGTTCCATATTTGGTCAGAAGCATCCTTGGGTAAAGAGGAACCAATTTGGTATAAATTGTGGCTCTGGCCCCCCTGGGGGCTGAGGGGCGGGGCCCAATAGTGGAAATCTAGCAAATTCTTTAAAATCCTTCTATTTCTGTAGGAATGAAAGGATTTGTTCCATATTTGGTCTGAAGCAACCTTAAGTGAAGGGGAACCAATTGTGTATAAACCGTGGGTGTGGCCCCCCAGGGGCCTGAGGGGCGGGACCCAATAGGGGAAACATAGATAATTATTCTTTAAAATTCTTCGTCTGTAGAAATGAAAGGATTTGGTCCATATTTTGTGTGAAGCATCCTTGGGTTAAGGGGAACCAATTTTGTTTAAACAGTGGGTCTGGCCCCCCTGGGGGCTTAAGGGCGGGGCCCAATATGGGAAATATAGCCAATTCTTTAAAATCTTCTTCTTCTGTAGGAATAAAAGGATTTGTTCCATATTTGGTCTGAAGCATCCTTGGGTGAAGGGGAACCAATTTTGTATAAACCGTGGGTCTAGCCCCCAGGGGCCTGAGAGGCGGGGCCCAATAGGGGAAACATAGCAAATTATTCTTTAAAATTCTTCGTCTGCAGAAATGAAAGGATTTGGTCCGTATTTGGTGTGGGCCTTCTTGGGTAAAGGAGAACCAATTTTGTATAAATGGTGGGTGTGGCCCCCCTGGAGCCTGAAGGGAGGGGCCCAATAGGGGAAATAGAGGTGAAACCTTTATAATACTTCTTCTACCATAGGGATTAAGGGATATTATTCTAATTAAGTCTGGAGCATCATTAGGCAAAAGGGACTCATTTTTTTATAAACGGTGTGTCTGACCCCTCTGGAGGCAGAGAGGCGGGCCCAATAGGGGAAATAGAGGTAAAACCTTTAAAATCCTTCTACCATAAAGAATTCTCTTCTAATTTAGTCTGGAGCATCAATGGCCCAAGAGGACTCAATTTTGTATAAGCAGTGGGTGTGGTCTCTCAAGGGGCAGAAGGGCGGGGCCCAAAAGGAGAAATAGATGTAAAACCTTTAAAATCCTTCTTCGACCATCGGGATTATGGGATTTTATCCTTATTTTGGCCTGGAGCATCCTTGGGTCAAGGGGACTCAGTTTTGTATAATCGGTGGGTATGACCCCCCTAGGTTGCATAGGGGTGGGGCTCTGTTTGAAGTTTGTTCTCGCTATATCTCAAGTACTGGATGGATTTCTGAAATTTCATATGTACTTCATACCAATTATTTTAAACATATTCAGGTGAGCGATACAGGCCTTCTGGGCCTCTTGTTATGTGTACGTAATGTTGGCTTCGAGACTATGAATATGATTGATTATCGTCATCATGATTTCTTTAGAAGTGTTCTACTCTTTTGTGTATTATGAAAGTCGACTTTTGATGACGATCTTTGTGTTAAGTATGGTTTATTCATTATAACATGACGTATACTATCGGTGAAGTAGTCTTCCAGAACACTAATTGGACCTATTCAAATTAAGAATTCTTTTTCAAGGGTCTCAAATCTAAATCCTTCGTTTGTTCTCATAATTAATCAAGTTGGTATCATGGTCCTTTTTGTATGTTTCCTATGCTGTCGTCTTAATATCAGAAATAAATGTGATTTGACTTTTTGAGCAAGATTTATTTTTTCTGTAGTACCTACAACGTTTAGAATGGCTACAACGTGTGATACAACATGAAATATGCTTTCACAGATAAATCAAAACATTACTACATATACATATACTGTTGGCCCATAGCGTTGTCGGGTACACTTAAGGAGGCTCCACCCTTTCGTAATTAGCCAGCAGAATTCAATGAAAGTTTCATATAATGGTTATGTCACTATGTAGAGATGATTTTATGAAAATCTAAGCATTCCGATAAACTGGGGATATTTGGACATCATTCCATAGCCCGCTTACGCATGGTATATTAACATGTCAGGTACATATGTAACCGTAGGCTATCGCATGGTATGCCGTTCTTTACGTGCACGCACATGCACTTGCATTTTATAGGAATCCTGATATTTTACAAACCACTATTTTCACAGAGTATTGTAATTGCATTTGTGAACCGATTTATCTGACAGAGCGTTACTCGCTGCTCGACAACAAAAGTCGTAGCGACCAAGAGCTTGTGAACTACTGTTGGCACGTGAAAACACATCAGTCTGCATTCCATGCGCCTCATATATATACGTAAAGGTTATTGCATGGTTTTTGAGTAACAAGGGATTTATTACACCCGAGCGAAGCGAGGGTATAATAAGTCCCGAGTGACGAGAAATCA